AGATTACATTCCAATATTCTGAAGGGTTACCACCTTTTATCACAATTACACTTAATAACATTTATATGCTATACGTGGATGAACACAATAAAGTTCTTGGATACGGGGCGAATATTCATAGTGTGTAGCTAAACTACTTAGATTAGGATACGAAATAAATAATTTACTTAATAATACAATGTATCCAGAAAATGGAAGTTCAAATGTTGAATATTATATTAGAAGTAATAATTAGAAGTATTAAAAGTGTTGGAATAAAAAAATAAATGTATAGCTCAAAATAATTCATATATATCTCATTGTTGTGCCAATATCTAATCTACCCTCCTATTTATTGTCTTTTTCCGCACCTTCCTTGGGTGTGGCGGAATCTCTATATTGTTAAGCGTTCGGTTAAATGTTTTCATAGTATCTGAGCTCTCTTCATGGTGCATAGTATCGTTTCCTATTAAAATAGATAAAATGTGTTATCTTTAATATGTGACAATAGCAAAATACGTAGAGGTATTGGAAATTCATTGGCATTAAAAAAAATTTTTTTTTTGATTTTATTATTACACGGTCTATTAGACCGATATTTGTTATTTTTAACCGACAATTACTTCCGTTCAATATCATCAAATTATAATATAAGAAATTTTATATTTCAATAGAATTTTCTGACATTGATCTGCGCATATCATCTAATTAAAAAACCATCCGATCAAACGTTGAAATTGGAGACTTTTGAAGCTGGTGTCTTTTCATCGGTTATGCTCGCAAATTTGCACATTTACATGGCCTTGACTAAGAACTATTATTCTTAAACCATGGGTGTCTCGAGTTCATTGTGTCTACACGGTCCATCTGTACATAGGATACTTACTTAATTCATTGATGAAGTCTTCTAGTTTCTGCAATTTTATGAACAATATACCATTCTTTTCGTGTGCATTTTGGAGTTCTTCTAAAATTTCTTGTCTTTCTTCTTCTGCCTGTTCAGCAAGGCTTGCTTTATCTTGTTCAAGTTTCGCTATATCCTGTAAGTATAACATCAAATTCTCACGGAGTTA